TATTCAAACAAGCAGCTATCTAAGTGAGGCATCAACTAAGTACACAGAATAGGCACACCAGCCTGTGTGATTGAAAGATTGGAGATACCAAAATCAAATACTATGGAGGTAAATGCAGCAGAGCTTAAATTGTGAAACCCAATTTGTAGAACCTATGGGTGACGGTGGGAGCCCAAAATCCATCTGTAGAACACCTATGTGAAATAAGCCTCTGGCAGATCTCTTCTGACCACAACTGAGGGACTGAGAGAGCTTGGCTATCAGATAGAGATTATAGTAAACGTGGTTATGGTGGCTGGAACTACAGCATAATATGACACCTGGTCATTTGATTGCCCTCTTGACCCATTCTGGGTTTGTTCCAGGTTTAAATATTTCTTGCTTGTTTCTAGACAGAGGTTTTCTCTCTGGTTTATTTTAATATTGCCTGTGGTCTTTTCTTTCTTCTTCTTTTTAAATATATATATATACTGTTTTCATTCTTTTTTCCTGGGGGAGTTCATGAAGCACAGAAGAGTCTGATGTACAGAGTCAATAATTGCTATATTAGCTTATCAGGGATACAATGGCAGGGATGTTGAGGGGATTGGGGAGCAAATAATAAACACCAGAATTGATTGTGGTGATACAAATGCCACTTTTAAAAAACACTACGAGTGTATGCTATGTGAATTATGTCTCAATAAAGCTATGAAAGAAGAAGAAGAATGGCCTCCCCCTGGAAAACAATGTCAGGGGAATCAAAGCGCAGAATAGCATGCCGGGGCTTCTGAAAAGCACTGGGTACAGGGGCCTGGGCTGGGGAGAGGGTGGGTAATGGTCAATGGAATGAAAGGAAGAAGAGCAGTCAGGCTCTGCTTGGAGTTAATGGCATTGCAGTTTTTAGAGACAGGAAGGACGCTGAACTGCTCACGCACTGTCTGCCATGAGTCACTGTCAAGAAGCAGCATCTCCAACCTTGAAGAACAAAGCTGAGCAGGAGATGAAATCCAAAGACAGGGTAAGGTCCACCCTTACAACAAGATGGTCCCATAGAGCAAGTATGCAACTGAAAGAAAATAGAGACAGACAAAGAGTTTAGGGTGCTCAGCTTGTCCATGAAGCCAGGAACACGAGAGAATGCATTCTCCAACAGGCTTATATAGTCTTGGGGTCTCATCAAGCACAATCACATACATAACAAGTGTCTTACCCTAGATATTCCTGGGTTCATCGGTAGAGCAACCCAACCCCAGTACTGGGGGCAGAACAGGGAGGACAATAGAAACACGTCTGCTCCCATAGATAAGGGCCTTGGCCGCACAGTGATCAGCCGTGTGCTTCTAAGCATCGTCTTGAAAGTGGCACTATCTGGGGGAGATGGTGGGGCTGAGTTTCAGCCAGGGGAATGTGACTGGGAGTCATCCATCTCACCAATGTGAAGGCCTTCCTCCACCAGAGTCTTGGTCTTCCAGACTCTTTATTATGAGCGTAGAGAATTTGTCCACATACACTCTCTTCCCGGTCCTTCGTCTCCCACAAGATAGGAGACGAAAACCTGACTCTGTAACCAGATGACTGTTACCCCCACGGGACTCACAAGTCAAGGAAACCACCACTGTAACCACACAAGCACAGTCCTGAGATGAGCAAGCGGCTCCAACAAGGGTGGGCAAGCAAATCCACAGCTGCGTAGACCAGCGTGATTCGTCTCAGTTGTATAAAACTCCTACAACAGACTACTAGACACACGCTGGTGAGCAACAAGTGCTAATATTTTTTTATGGTAGGGAAGAATAATGTAGCTACAGACATGGCAAACTATTTAAACCATGTATTTAGGAACAGAGCTTAGTAATAAAATGTATAACAAAGTTAAGCTGACATATTTAATACTACACATAACTTTTATCCCATTGCATGATGATCAGCCATAATTGGAGCCTTTCACACAAATGAATACCATTAATATTCTTTTTAAGCCAGTAAAATGCTGCTCCACTCCCCACTCCATCCCTCCCAGGCCAATCTTAGTAAGATAGGGTTGCCCTACCTTAAATTAACAAGCAGATTCTGGGAGTATCATCAATACACAGCCCCACTAGTCAAGAGCTGGAACTGAATAGCTACGTCATCTGGGATTCCCTGTGCCAGTGACCCAGGAAGATCTGGTTCTAAGCAGACATCCTCTCTGATGAAGCAACTGACAAGAGGCAAGTCTTGTCCTGGGAAGCTTAGGACCACCCAGAACCACAGGATGGAGTAGCTGGAGGGATTAGCTTTACCCAAGGGAAGGGGACATCAGCAGGGAAGTGGAGCTATGAGCAAACTGCCCTCTGCAGGTTAAACCAAAAATCAAACCCACTGCCATTGAGTTGATTCCAACTCATAGTGACCACATATTAGAGCTTCTAAGACTGTAAGTCTTTGCGGGAACAGACAGCCTCATCTTTCTCCCTAGGAGCTGCTGGTGGGTTTGAACCACTGACCTTGAAGTTAATAGTCCAACACATACCCAACAGCACCACCAGGACTCCTTAGGTATAAATAAAAAAGAAGTCTTTGTTATTTCATAGCCAGTGTTTGGGGGGAATGGGAGTGGAGTGGGTATAGTGAGCTAAGGGGAGAATGGCGGTTGGAGGGAGGAGGGTTATAGTCTCAATGTAACTGGCAGCCATGAATGGCTAAGACTCCATGACCACAGATACCCAGCTACAGCACAGCCCTACACATAATTTAATTCTTATAAGAGTAGTAATGTGTTATAGTTATTAAAAAATAACATTTGGAGTCAGATCCAGGTTCTAGCACTTTCAAGAACACCGCCTATCTATGGCTGTGAAACAATGCATCCCAAAACTTCCTTACTGCCATTGAGTCAATACAGACTCATAGCAACCCTACAGGGCAGGGTAAAAATACCCCCATGAGTTTCCAAGACTGCAGCTGTTTACAGGAGTACAAAATCCATCTTTCTCCCTCGGAGCGGTTGGTGATTTCAAACTGCTAACCTTTCAGACTGACGGCAGCCCAATACTTAGCCATGGTGCTACCTGGGCTCCATCTCCCAAAACATAGGGACTTACGACAACATGTATGATCTCAGTTTCTGTAGATCAGAAATTAGAACCTGTTTCCTAGCGGAATTCCCTGCTTTGAGGTATACTTGCAGGCCACCATCAGGATGTCAGCCAAGATTGGTCAGGTCCAGACTCACCTGGGGGAAGAATCCACTTTTACACTGGTTCACAGGCTGATTTGACAGGATCCAGTTCCCCTGGGCTCTTTGACGGAGGGCCCCACTTCCTAACTGGTTTTGTCCAGAGGCTTGCCTCAGCTCCTGACCACATGGGCCTTTCTCTCAAGTAGCTTACAGTATGGCGGTTAACTTACCTCAAAGTCAGAAGTAAGACACGCTGAGCAGAATGGAAGCCGCTGTATTTTATTCTTTAACCTCAGAAGTGACAGCTATCATTGTTTTAATGAGAAGCAAGTTCCAGTCCCCACTCAAGGGAAGAGGACTATACTGGGGGGGCATGGGGAGCAGAAGCTGGGGACCACTGGGGGGCAGTTGAGAGGCTTCCAAAGCCCTTAACCTTGTGAGTTTGTTTGCTCATCTTTAAACTCTCAACAGTCTTAGAGTTGAAGCTGATTCATAGCAATCCTGTAGGACAGAGTGGAACTGGTCCTCGGGGGTTTCCAAGACGATAACTCTCCACCGGAGCAGATGGCTTCATCCTTCTCATGTGACATGGGGGTGGGTTTGAGCCACCAACCTTGTGGTCAGCAGTCCAATACCTAGCCCACAGTGCCCTGGCCTATAGTAGGCACTCAATAATCTGTATCCGTAATACAATTTGCAATTGAACACTGCTCCCCCCTTTCCACAATAACAAAGTTCAAAGGTCTATGTTCGAGGCATAGTGTCTTTGGGATTCTCTGGACTTGTGTACAGGACCAAAGGGACTTTGCATCAATTACCTTGTCCTAGAGAAGAAGCTGCCTAGCGGGTGTCACATGCTCTTTAAGGTGACACAAACACACAGCTAAATGGAAACCATTTAGGAAATCAAGAGGTGATCAGTAGCCATCAGTATTGACAAGGAAACAGTTATGTTAAGTCAACCCCAGTTGCTCCCGGGGGTCCGTAGACCAATAAATTACAGGATCGCCAGGCGCCCTCTCTCATTGCCGTTGAGTCGATGCTGAGTCACAGCGACCCCTGTGGGTTTCCGAGACTGTCACTGTATTTTTGTCTTTGTTTTTGTCTTCACACGAGAACACTGACTGTACAGCTAAGCATAGCGATCCTTGAGATGCACTGACGCTGCAACAGCTGCCCTCCTGGGTTCAGTTGGTTCTTCACGGAGTCCATGCCTGAAGCTCCGGGAGACAACTTTGAGGCATCTCATTCGTGGCCTTTCATCTTTTAGCCTTGGCACTCCAGGTATACTTTCTCATGCACTTGGCAGGGGAGCCACATTTGCTGCAGGTCGACTTCTGGAGATGGAGCCACAGCGGCTGCACAAGGTACGTGGTCTTATTGCGACGCTTTCCGAAAGATGACATTCCCTTGGTCATCTTGCTTCTGCGGCCCAGATCAAAGAGGCCGGAAGAGAAGACACTTCCACTATTTTACTCTCCAGCCTGTAACTGTTGATGGCCCAGTCTTTCTCCTGAGGAGCTGCTGCTGGTTTTGAACTGCCCACCATGCAGACTACAGCCCAACATGTAACCATGACACCGCCAGGCATCATAAAACTGGACTATACCGGGGCATGTGACAAATCTCTGAGCATACTTCTGGGAGTGAAAGGAGGAAGTGTAATTTGATTTGTAGATAAGCAATAGCCTCTTGAGAAACAGCCCCAGGGCAATGCCTAGGGAGACTTAGAGTCATCAGCCACAAGGAGTCCTTGTCTCTTATATGAAGGAGTACCCCCCAAAACAGTATTTTTTAAAAGCTATTTTTTTAAAAAACTTTTTACAAACAACCTTATCACCTTTAAAGTATTCTCCATTAAATTTAATATATTTGTCAAATCTGCAATTCCATTCTTAGAAACAGTTTTCAAACTCATCTGTTTGGATAGCTGACAGCACCTCCCCAGTTTTTTTCTTCACCTCTTCTACATCATCAAAACATTGTCCTTTCATGTTCCTCTTCATTCAAGGAAACAAAAAGAAGTTATATGGAGCGAGGTCAGGTGAGTAAGGTGCAGACATTTCACATTTTTTGAAAGGATAAAACCACTTGTACATTTGAGTTTTTCCCATATCACTGTCCTTGTAAACTGTGTTCAACATTACAATAGTTTCTACAGCATTTTTCCCTAGCAGGAAAGAAAATTTCACAGCCACACACGGTTTTCTTAAATTGGCCATCACAAAAAATGAGGTCTGAGCCAAACTGCTTTTACGAAAAAAATTCACTGTGACCACAGAGAACCTTCCAGACGATGTCACTGGGTGCACTAACTCAGAGCAAGTTGTTCTATGCTCAGCCTAGTGGTAAAAATGTGTACTACAAAAATATCTGCTCTGCCCAGCGCAATTCTGGTTTTTTTTTGGGGGGTACCCCCTTCTATTCTCTTGTTGTGCTCACCAAGAAGCTCCGTCCTCTTCCACATCTTGCTAATAAATTTGAATGAAGCGTGACTCATCTGATTTGCCAAGGCAACAAAATCTGGGAGCACAATTAGTGCTTCTGAGTCAAAAACCCTAAGAGGCGCTCAGACACTAAAAGCCTGTGCTGAAATTTGGGAGATGAAAGACCGTAGAGATACATGTAGAGTAATGGGCAGGATTGTTTTTTTGCTTTGTTTTGTTTTGTTTTGTTAATTAAGGTCTCTGACATCACAGGAATTCATGCAAGAATAAAAAGCCTCGGTTCAACCACAGCTGCAGCCAGCATACAACCCTGGATGAGAGCTTTAAGAGACACCGGCAAGTGAAAGAGAAACAAGAAGCCAAGAAACTGCAGGTGTGTAGGCTGGGAAAGAGGAGGCTTGCAGAAGTGAGTTAGCAGCTCTCTCAGATCTGAGAAGGGCCAGCCAGGAGGAGCTGGTGTAGAAGGGCATTTAGAGACAGCCCAGAGGTCAGAACTAGGACAAGTGAGATGCTCCAGAACAATACCCGTTTGTCTACAAAGGTCGACTTTCACATTTGAGAGTAGGGAACTTACCTCTGGCTTGGGAAGGGTTCACTGCCAGACTATTTTATTGTGGGGTAACACTGTCAGAAGTGTTGTGGAGAGCAAGTTTCCCTTGGATGAGAAGAGCCTTTCTAACTCCGAGGCTATGAGTCTCACAGCTCCTCATTTTCGGTCACCAGGGCTTACAAAATCCAAGTAGTGGTTTACAGTCGGCACCGAAAAGAAGCAGAAAAATAAACAGTATGGGAAATGGATCACGCCCAATAAGCTTAGTATAATACTATCATAAGGTTTGTACTTCAGATACATATGTGTGCACACATTTGTATATTTTTTTGTTACACAGCCGTCCCTGTTCCTGTCAACAGCTATTCAATTCCATTCTTTCAGCTGCATCGGGCCCAAACCTTGGAATTAGTCCATGACACCTTTCTTTCATATCCCAGAGCCAATTCATCAGAACATTCTGAGGTGGAGATTCACTAGATGCTCACCAAACTTGTTTCTTCTTCCTGAGCATGTTACAGGCCGGGAGGGTGGTCGTGTGACTGAGTTCAGCCCAGACGATGTGGTGGTCTGGACTACTACAGCCTCCCCTGCATGATCCTTAGTTCTCTTTCCCCATCTGCCAGCTAAGTGGAAAGAATTGCAAGCCCCGGGAGGAGAGGGGATCCGTAAGGTGGAAGGGTGTTGGGTCCTGGATGACAAATTGGATTGTGACACAAAGGAAAATGAAATGTTTACTGGATTAGAACACTGTGGATCCAGGGATTATCTAGTGTTACCCTAAAAGGAGTCCTGCTGGCTCTGGCTGTAAAAACACATCCAGAATCTGACCACTTCTTACGTCTGTGGTTGATCCAAGCCAACATCATCTCCCCCCTTTACTATAGATAAAGACCTGGTTCTCCCTACTTTGGTATTTGAGAGGGCTTCCAAAAGTTTGAGGGAAATGGAAGAGGTAATGGGAGTTTTCCACAAACTTTTGGAAACACCCTCATACGCCTCACTGTTCTCAACAAAGGAAACCCCAGGATGATGCAAATTGTTAATGTTACGAGCTGTTAAATGAAAGGCTGAAGGTTAAGGCCCACCCAGAGGTGCCCGGATGAAAAACCTGGTGATCTACTTCTGAAATAGCGGTCACTGAAAACCAGATGGAGCGCAGTTCCTCTCTGACCACATGGGGGTTGCTATTGGTCAGAATCAACTCCAGAGCAAGTGGGCTTTTTTAGATTCTCAATAAGAGTAAGGCAAACTGGTCTATCCATTTTTATACTCAAATCCTGTTAATGATTATTAAGAACAAAAACACATACTCACCAGAAAGGGTACACTTACCATGTAGAGCTAGATCCTTGAGTATCGATAAAACGATTATGTTGGATAGCATTTGGTTCATCAGTGTTTGGATGGTGGGGGAGGGGATAGAAAACAAGACTGGCCATGTGATCATAGTTGAAGCTGGGTGACAAGTATACAGGGTTCACTATGGGGGTCTACTTTCACCTTTTCTTTCTTTCTTCTTTTTTTTTATATGACTAAAGGTTTCCATTTGACTCAGAATAAAAACAAAAACAAAAACCTTTATAGTGTCAACAAGGTTTAATACAGTCTTGCCCCTTCCACTCCTATTACTTCTATAACCTCCTTTCCCATGAAGCCTCTCTCCCTCATTCTTGGCTATTTGTTGAGTTCATTAGGCACATTCCACCTTAACTCATGGTCCCTGAGTCAGTTCTGACTCACAATGGCGCTATAGGACAGGATAGAACTGCCCCTGTGGGTTTCCAAGGCTTTACTCTATGAGAGTAAAAAGCCTCATCTTTCTCCCACGGAGCAGTGGGTGGTTTCAAAGGACTGACCTTGCAGTTAGCAGGCCAACACTGGCCACCAGGATTCCTAGCTTCTTGCCTAAAAGTTTTGCAATGGCTGGTTGGAGTTGTCCCCAGCCGGCTAGGCCACTGGGCTCAGCCAGGTGTGTTCCCACCAGCCCATTCCCAACTGCAGTCCACCCTCTTCCCCTGTCCTCAGGAACTCCCAGTCCTGATATTTCTCACATGCATGTTCTTACAAATACTATATAGTCGCTTAGTCTGTGTTCATTGTTTGGCTTTCTCTTGTCACTAGAATTTACATTTCCAGAAGGGCAGGGAGTTTTTGTTTTAGGGAATTTTTGTTCAGTGGTGGAAACAATGCCTGGCATACAATAAGCACCCAGTCCCCCAAAGTCGAATGAATGTAGAAAGTTTTAGAACTACTTACAGGCCTGAGGCAGGGGAGGGGGCAGAAGTCCTTGACTTTGGGCCTCGCCTTTTCTTCAGTAGCGAATGTAGCTGGGCCCCATTGGCTCCCACTCCACTCTCTTTCACTAAACAAGAAATCTAGGGCACCTGATTTCTGAGGAGGAGTGAAGAATTTATACATAGCTCCTTGGAATTACTGCCCACCTCCCCAGCCTTCAGGAGAGATTTCATAACTTAGATTTGGGATATCTAAATCTACCCCCAGCTGCTCTGTAAGAGGAAGGCTGTCTACTCCAGTAACACAGGGCAATTCTACCCTGTCCTGTTTCGCAGCAATGGCTTGGAATCGACTGAATGGCAGTGAGTTTTTCAGAAGGCCAACTCGTTAGATCGTGCGATATCCCAACACCCTGAACCAAACTCATGACAGAGGACGCTCCCTGAAAAACGTCACATAACTGGGACCTTGTCATCCAGCAGTTTTAGGAAACTTTAGGCTTTGTCAAAAACACCTAATTTTTAAAAAGAAAATGTTCTAAAACCAATTGTGGTGTTGATGGTACAACTCTTCTTGATGTGGTTGAACTATCTATCTGACGTGTGAATTACATGCCAATAAATTTTAAAAACTGAAATCTGAATAAAATAAAGCAATATAAAATTAAAAAGAGTTGTTACAAAGCAAATGTCCAGAATCAGGTCTAGGATAAGGTAAAATGTGAGCATCAAAACCGGTTTAGAAAGACTGCTTTGTGCCTAGGGTTTTTGTGAGACAATACGCAATTGGCACATTACCCTGTCCTGCATTTACTGGGATCCCTCCTCCCACCACCTAAGAATTTACCCCATCCACATCTTCATTTATCTGAGCTATAAGCAAACTACGAATCTGAACCAATCTACTTATGTGAGCCAGGTTTCTTATGATCAGAAAACTATCGGGGGGTGGGTGGGTGGGGGGGAGTGTGTGCATTCCACTCAGTACTTTGCAATGAGAAATGAAATCGTAGGAAAGCAAATAAACAATGGAATCAACCCCACGAATGATGAGGAATCGTTTCCTTAAGTAAAACTGTATCTGAAAGCGTGGGAAAGGGATTATCCACATCTCCAATGCTATTAACTGAAGAAAATACTGTTTGATCTACACCTGAGGGACTGTTCACCAAATCGACACGACCTTTCCTGAGCTAAGTCCAGAACACAACATGATGATCAAATGGGCAGGCACTTGCCTTGCGTTTCCACAAGTCAGGCCTGCACGGTTTACAGTGCTCCTAGGCTTGAGCAAAGAGTGCCATCTGGAGGATTTCTGCCGGAGACAAGAGTGGCCGTGGAACCGGTCACCAAGTCAGGATCCACATAGGAACACCCACTACCAAGTCACCCAGGGAGCCTGCTGGCGGTAGTGGATTACACACGGGGCTGCTAACCGCAGTCAGCAATTCAAAGCCACCAGCTGCTCCACTGGACAAACGGGCTTCCTGCTCATTACCAGCGCCAGAAGTCCTTCCGGGCAGTTCTACTCTGTCCTGGGGTCAGTGAGTCACAATCAACTGGATGGCAGTGAGTGGCCAAGACACCTCATGGACTTATGCCGCTTGCTGATAAATAATTAAAAATGAATGAACTTTTACTTCTTTTTTTAATAATAATCTTGGGAGACTGTACTTGAATTTCGTTTCCCAAGTCATTTGTATAGTTTGGGAAAGTGTTTTTCAGAGTCCACAGATTCACTGAGTCCTGTCTCTTGCAGTTCCCTGCCTCCCATATCAGCATGCTCCTTCTATGAGAAAACGGCTCTCCTCCCCTCCTAACTTAGGGTCCCAGAGGTGGTACCCCCAAGGTTTCCATAAGGGACTTCAATGCTGCCCCATCTAATGCCCCGTGTGTTCAAATAGATGATCTGCTGAATCATCAGCTGTTGTCTTGACTAGCAAAGATAGTGTCTGCTGTTCGTTGGGCCAGGGCTTCCAACCCGTTCCCCGGGGGGCCGTTCTTGGGGGTTTGGGGTTGCCCACCTTCAAAGGGGGGTTACGGCGCTCTCTGGTTAATGGAGGGGGGAAGCAGCAGCGAGTGTGCTTGTCAGTCATAAGGGGTCCCTCCCCCAAATTGCTGTTGATCAAGCGGCAGGAATAGCCGCTATGAACAAAGGAAACCTGCTCTTCTGTTACCATCCGGTATGTATCTGCTGCCCTTACTTCCCCTCTCAACTGCTGGCAAAAGAATGCTAACTGAAGCTGAGCCAAATCCCCCAACAGACTACTTTCTTCACTAGTGAAAACGGCCCCTCCTTCCCTGGACAACCTCTTTATACTCAAAAAAGCAACGTTTGGTCCAAACAATTCTTGTTTCTGAGTTCTCATAGGGCAGGCTGAAGAGACAAAAGGGTTATCCTTCACAACAGCTGGTTTCTGTTATAAAGGGAAAACCAGTCTTCTTTTTCCTTATTAGTTCTCTAGGACATCTTAACAGGGAAAGAGAAGCCAAGCAAGCAGAATGACTTGATTAAAGAGGCTGCGGCAGAACGAAGGAGATGGCGAAGGCAAAGCAGCACGTGTACAAGGAAAAGCAATGTTGTGTGTGTGTGTGTGTGTCTGTGTGGGTGCGCGCGCGCGATTAGGAAGTGGGCACACTTCACTGAAGACCTCCTCTGGCTGGCCCCTGCTCAAAGGCACATGAAGATCACACCCCATGCCTTCTATTTGAGAGGAAACAGTGTGCTAGTATAAGGAGTGTATCTCATCCTAAAGCTAGCAGAGAACCTTTAACATTCCTTCGTGTGAGAAATGGGTGCTACATTCAAGTGTGGGGAAGAAACTACACAGTGGCCGGATATCAGAAAGACTAGCATCTGGGGTCTTCAAGGCTTGTTTTCAAACAAGCAGCTGAGTGTGACATCAACTAAGCCCACGTGGAAGCAGCACACCAGCCTGCATGATCCAAGGATTGTAAATAATAGAATCCAAATCCGAAGGAGGGAATGATATCACAGCTTAAATTGTGAATGGATGACAGTGGAAGCCCAAAACACATTTTCAGATTTTACTTTTAGAATAAGACTGATGATTTCCCTCTAACCATAATCAAAGGATGGCAATAGTCTGGTTATCACAGTCTTGTAAAGATGATTATAGAGATTAAAGTGAAAAATCTCACTTGAAGGATTAAAACCTTATCATGTGATCTCCCTTTTGACACACTGAGTTTGCTCTGGTTTTTAATATTTTGTTTTCTTTCAAGCTAGGGTTTCCCTCTACTTGATTTTATTATTGTTGGTAGCATGAACTAGTTATGCATTCTTTAATGCTTTTTTAGTGTATGAAACCCAAGATGCGTGGCTCTAGACAGAGACGGTAACTATGAAGGGTTCTTGGGGGATATGGCAGTGGAGGTTAGGGGATAATGGAGAGCTGATCATAAGGAGCACAAGAAAATGTTTTTTAAATGATTGTGGTAGCAACTGTACAATACTTATTGATATGACTGAACTACTGAATGATGTCTAGATTATATCCTAATAAAATGGTTTCTAAAAACCCAAAAACATTTCTTCAAAGGCTGTGAAGTTAAACACACAGAAAGCTGAGCTGAAGGATGGGCTCAGCACCCAATAAAGGATTGGGCTGCAGACCCCAAGGTAGCATCTCCTGGTACTTCCAAGGGGGCTTCAGAAAAGTCCATAGAAGATGGACAGAAAAGATACGGGCATTTTCCCATGAGCTCTTTGAAGCCTCCAAGTATCATCTGGGAGAACATTGGCAATTTCAAACCTTTGCCATTTGACAAGGTACAGAAACAATGGGGTTTGGGAAGGGAAAACATCAGAAGAAAAGCAAAATTGGTTTTAGTTGAAATAGCCCCCAAAGAGGCCAAAAATGTGTACTTCAAATCCAAGGAGTTCTGAGAATGCTGAGGACCTATTGGGTAGTGTTATGAAGAAAGGCGATGACAAGTCAAAGTGTCTTCTGTGGAGTCATGTGCGTTCATAAAAAGGACGCCGTGATAGACACAAAATGTGTTAGAGGGCAAATAAGAAAGGTCTCAATGCTCCCGTGTTACTGAAGACACTTGTCCCTTAGCTCTGGAAAGCAGTATTTATTAGAAAGAACTATTAAAGGAAGTCTTCCTGCAAATCAAACGGTTCTCCTACCACCACCACCACCACCACACACACACACACACACACAAATATTTCATGTTTATGCTTACAACTTGTTTAGCCTAACTCTAGGACTCTCCTGGATTCCTTGGTCCAAGGTCCTGAAAGCAGTATGAAACACTGCTGCTGCCCGAGTTCCTTAGTGAGGGAAGGTGGCTCGAGGGTGAAAAAATTGAGGTGCTTCGCTCCATGTCTTATCTCTAGCCCCCAGTTCTCCCACAAAGCCTCATAACAGGCAAAGAGGTACGGTGTTCTTCAATAAAGTCACACTAGTGTGATATATTGGTTGAGCCAAAACCAATGGGTGATTCCAAAGAGTCTTTGGAGTCATGCCGAGAGGAATCCACGTGGTTGAAACCTGGCTTTCTCAGGTGGATCTATTTAATCTTAGCAAGGGCAGCTGCTCTTCTTTCTGTGTTCTGGAACAAGGAGCGGATTAAAGCTTTCACTTCACTCGGGGAGAATGCAGCTGCCAGGGGACCTTTTCCATCTGCCCACCTGCAAAGCCAAAGACAAAACGTTACTTCTGAGTGTCTGAAGTACAGGCAAGATTCAAAAACTGGCTGTTCGATTTATGTTTAATGGTAATAGGGTGTCAGGCATCGTGGTTCCTCATGAGCTTTGACCCCATCTCTTCACTGGCTGCACTGGTGGTTTCTCATGAGCTTTGACCCTATCTCTTCACTGGCTGCACTGGTACCGACAGACTGAGCGAAGACGAGGTTGGTAAGATGAGACTGCTCTCCCTCAGTCCCCATTCGCTAAGACCTCAGTGAACTTCCTAATTATCACCACAGCCTCACACTCTAGAACCACTTTAAAAATGGAACCACAGGCAACACATGCAGCTGACAAAGGACTAGACTAAAGGACATACACCATTCCATAAATCACTATTGAACCCACAGTGGGATCAAGGGCAAAAATATGAATAAGCATTTTTGCAAAAGAAGAAACACAAACGACCAATGGAAAAAATGTCAGCCTCATTAGAATATGAAGAAATACAAAGTTAAAAGGACAAGCTACTCTTTCTTATCAACCACATGAGCAAAAAGATATCTGTTACAATGCTTTCAAATGCACCCCTAGGCTAGCTAGCTAATACAACTGGGCATCTGTAGTACATCAAGCTAGACCATGAAGACAGGAAGCTGTCGGCATGGTGATGGGCCTTAAAGGCCTGTTCAAAACAGAATGAACTTTCCGCAACATATACAAGGGGGCTTTAAAAAACTGGTGGGAAGACGGAGTTAATAAAAGTTTTCCATGGTTTTCTCCCACTTCTCATTGTGAATAGGGTGAAGGTTTCCAGAGCAGATCGCTTTTCCAATGAACAGTGCACACACGCTGTGTCTCGGGTCACTGAGTGCCATCCTCAATGTACCATCACTGTTCCACCTCCGCCCTGTGCTTTGCATTTCCAATCCTCTTTCCAAATCCTTGGGAACTTTGTTCTTGGGTAAGCACTGCCTGTTTGATCTTCAATGGTTACTCTAAGGCAGGGGTCCTCAAGCTTTTTAAACAGGGGGCCAGTTCACTGTCCCTCAGACCTGTTGGAGGGCCGGACGATAGTTTTAAAAAAAACTATGAACAAATTCCTATGCACACTGCACATATCTTATTTTGAAGTAAAAAAACAAACGGGGCAAAAACACCCGGCAGGCCGGATAAATGACCTCAGCGGGCAGTATGTGGCCCTCGGGCAGTAGTTTGAGGATCCCTGCTCTAAGAGTATGCGCCTCCCTCATGACACTGTTCCCCTTATAGACCTGTCTGTCGTTCGGCTGAAAATTCCACCAGCTTTTTCCATGAGCTCCAGTGAGGGTGTGCCTGCCCTCCCCCAGGTAAACACACTCATCAATAAACCACAGGCCCAATCACCAGTGGTGGTTAAGGTGAAACACTACCCACACATTGAAGAAAAAGGCAAACTTTTCTAGGGGAGTCATGTGGACCCTCTAAAGCCATTCACTCTGCAGAAAAACTGCCGGCCGTGAACATTTCTCGTGCAGACACGCTAACTTCTCAGTAAGCGCGTCAAAACCAGTCTTAGAAAGTGGGCAGCCATTTCCAGCTTGGGGTCAAAAAGTGTGTGCTTCTCACACATGCCAACTCATTTAGTCTGTGGGCCAAAAGAGGTTTGATGACATCATAGCACGAAACAAGTCTTTATGTTCTTCACTGTAAGAAAACAGTCATGAGGCCTCCAGGAGGGCAGACCAAGCAAAGGCCCCCAACTACTGCTGCTTAAGAAGAAGCCTTTTCCTGAGTAACAACAGTAAGCAACTGAGGGAGCATGGCTACCGACAGCACCACACCTCCCTGGTGGCTGTGGCGAGAGGGTTGCCATGATGGGCTGCATACACACCGGTCTGTAATTTCTTGCAGGTTGGCTTGGAGCATCATCATGAGCTCTTTGAAAGGCATCCATTTTGGCACGTAGACAGGAACCTCTTCCTGATATTTCTTGTTCTTGCTTTCTTCAGCTAGAGGTGCAAACACTTGGGGTCCTTCGTCCATCAAGGTTTTACATAAGCAATACAATCGCTCACCGTCTTCAGTAGAGATGTCCTGGTTTTGCACAAAGGAAACACAGCACAAGAGAGAGAGGCCAGCTGAGTGGCAGGGAAAGTGGACCTCAGGCACATGCTGCCGGTGCTTCATGTGAAGCAATACACTTTCCAAACAGTTCCGCACACCTTTCTAGACACTGGAATTCATCAGCTCTCTGACAATCGATCTCCTGAAAGCTACACAGACACAAAGCATGTCCCAACCGATTGTCAGCAATGTAAGAAAGGTCTGCGTGAAAGAGCCCGTGGCACAGTAGAATGTGGCACAGCTTGCTACAGAGCAGGGGGTATTTTTACAAATAAGGGTGTGGGCAATCTCTGCTTTACAGGCATCGGCTGGCAGAGTCCAGAGACTTTTCTGTAGGATCACACATACAAGTGGGTTTCAAAAATTCACAAAACAATGGGATTACAAAAAGAATTTTCCCACAAGCTTTGCGAAGTCCCTAGAATAGTCCCGAGGGCAGCAGTGTGGGGAAAGAGCAGCCCCACACAAAGCTGCCTCCATTTTGGTAAGTTAGGTCACTGCACTTGCTTGCAAAGTAAATGTAAATACAATAATAATTTATAAATTATCAAGGGTGCATGGGGGAGGGGGCAGAGGAAGGGAGGGGGAGGGGGGAAAAGGAAAATGAGCTGATTCCGGGAACCCAAGAGGAAAGCGAATTTTGGGAATAATGAGGGCAACAAATGTATAGATGTGCTTTACACAATTGATCTATGTATTGTGATGAATTGTATGAGCCTCAATAAATTGATTTAAAAAAAAAAAGTAAATGACTGATGTTATGCTTTGTGTCTCAGGCCCACGGCCCAGTTTCCAACCTCTTCGTTCAAAATTTACGAAGGTGCTAGGCCAAGAAGCAAGACAGTTGGCGCTGCTTTCTTACATAGGTTTAAAAGGTAGAGACTGTCGCGTTTCCAACAAGATAGAGTGAGAACAAAAGGGGGAGATGGACACAACGAGGCAGTCAGGCAGACGTGAAGCGTGCTGCCCAGCTCCTGTCGTTTGTTGAGCCTGACGAATGAGACGTTCATCTGCAGTCGGGAGGAGGAATCTGAGGCCCCTTACCTCGAGGGCAGTGATTCTGGCAATGGTCTCGGAAAGTGCCGTATTGAGTAAAGTCCCCATGGCCTTGCAGTAGATATTCACTGGGAGGACATCCTGCCACACAACCCCAAGTCTCTTTAGCTGGTGCAGGACCTGTCGTCACAAGAAGCAGCCACTTATGTTGGAAAGTGAATTGATGAACTTGTATAGTCCAGATTCACATTTATCATTTGTTTGTGTCTTGGCAGAAGGGCTCTCTTAGTATCAACAAGCAATCAAGAGTATCGGATTTTTTCACCAATAACCTATGTATGCTATAGGAAGGGGCTTCAAAAAGTTCATGGAAAAATAGACTTCAAAGACAATGGAATATTATTTCCACAAACTTTTTGAAGGCCCCTCATCCACTTTTTTGCAAGACATCCAGCCCCTTCCCACTAGGTTGGCCTTCTACGAGCACTGTGGGCATGACAGGTGGGTGTCCCTTCGTTTGTGGGTACGTTCTATGCAGAAGAACATGCATACACTTCTTGACTACCTATTACTGACTGATACCCCTTGGCTAGCTGAAAACGAGACTCATCTTGCGGACAGAAAAACTGCAATGAGAAGATCAAGGAAGAAAACTCATGTTTCAGATTCCCCAGGGGCATATTATTTGCTATGACAAACTTCCCAGATAACTACACACACGATCAGGCACATGGAAGGGTGGCTTCTGTTGACCTGGGGGGTGGGGGAAAGGGTGGTCTTAAACATGACAGGAAAAGGCATTCCGTTTTCCAGTGGGGGTGGGGTGGACTCATCTGAGCTGCTTTTTTTACACAGTCTTTATTGCTTTGAAAAGAAACCAAGAGGGGCATCCAAGGATATAGCACAAATTCCAGAGCTCACAACAGCCTCCCACCTGCCGGATCGCTCTGCTTGCTGCAGAATAATTCTCTTCATCGTCCATGTTTATAAAGTTCCTAGCACTTGACAGTCTCTCCAGAAGTTCTCCTTTCTGGGCCCGCATTTGAGCCAAAAAGCACTCTGTCCCTAGATGGGAAAAGAGAATAAAGAATTCTAAAGGCAGCTCAATCGCACAGTACAGACTAGAATGGGAGGGGAGACGAGCAAAACCAGGCAGCTGAAAAAAGCAACTGCTAGAGAGCATCATCCACCTGCCCTCCACCCCCCTCACAATGACCAAGAACTCCCTCCCCAGAGTCAGGATCGGCTGAGAACCATTTCATCTGCAGAAACAGCAGCTACTGATTAATCCATTATGTGTGCACCACCTAAGGAAACAGTGAGGAGCTGAAAAGCTCAGTGAACCATTGAGATTCTCTGCTTTTCTCAGCCTATCATTCCAGGACACACATTACTTGCCCCACAGTTCTGTTTTGATTTTTTTTTTTTTTTTTTTTTTAATCATCCCAGGGGACGCTGAGGAAGGGAGAGGATTGCTACCTTGGGCTTTTGTAAGAGAACCAGCACCGACAGAAGGGTAGTCAGTCTCACTAGCAAAGAGGGCAGAATCGTCATGATATATATCCTATGTTTGCACTCTAGCCTAACTGACCAGGTGGATTCACAGCATACCAGCAATGCATACAGAACTCTTGACGTACAGGAATCGTGTCAGCAACAAGTGCTGCCTCCACAAAGGCTGCACTCACGTTACAGAGGGCCTTAGCCAGGACACTTACAAACCCAACGCCCTGCCACTCTGGTATCACTCAGGACCACCATATCTCTCACCTCCTCAATCATAAATAGCAGAGACATGAGGCTGAGAGGTAACAGTTACCGAGTCTCCTGAAGCCAGGGACAAGATCCACAAACGTAGAAGTGCCATCACAAAGAACGGGGGCGAGCCGTAAAGTGAACTGGTGCCCAAGGGTCAGCAGGTGGTGAGCAATATACATACAGTTGTTGTGGTGAATGGCAGCCAACTGGGGCAGTTTTTGAAGGTTCTCTCTACGTCAGGAAGGTGGGCAAAAAAGGAAAGAAGCTGCCGGTTATTGAAGCTGGGACTGAGGGAAAGTCACTACTTCCCAAATGCATTTCTAGGTTTGAATCCTATACTGGTGTAATTAACCAGATAAAATCTCCACACTCCCCTGGCCAGTCAGTCAGAGGGAGGCTGTTCTGCTGGAACATGGCCTCAGCCTAACCCTAGAAAACAATCTCAGGGACCAACAAAGAAAGAAAAAGCAAGGGGATTGAAATGCTCCCCTGGGTTCTCTCTGTAGCCTGAACACCTAGGACAGCTGTACATATTAACTTCGAAATGTAACCCTGCTTTCTGTCTGTAGAAATGCACATTCACGTCCCCTTTCTCCAAACCCCTGTTCCACTCTATGATGAAGCACTTAGAATTTTAAAATATGAAAATATGGGGCTTCCCCCGAAACAAATGAAATCAGCACATCGGGGAATGAGGTCAGGACACTGCAGTTTTAAAAGTCATCCCAGGTGATCTTAATTTACACCTAAGAGTAACCACCGGAGAAGGTTCTAATTCTTCTACACATGGTAGTCTCTCTATCAGACTGGAAAGAGGTTTTGTCCTGTATTTCTGTAATACATCCACTAGCATTTGTTGACTGCCGGGCTAAGATGTACAAAGGCAGAAGGCGCCAGCGGTCGAAGATCATTGTTCTTATTCCTGGCCACACAGCAGAAACATTTTGGGGCTTGAAAAAAAATACCCAATGGCTGGGTTTTACAACTGATCTCTAGTCCCAAATCTCCAGGGGAGTCTAAACAAAGACATATTTTTAAGTCCAATAAGGTGAGAACCATAATCTAGAACAGTGGTTCTCAAATGTGCTCTCCGAGGAAAGGGCAGCCACGTCCCCTGGACTTTGGTTTACAACACAGGCCTCATCCCAGACCTACTGGGAAGTCTGCTTTAGCAAGGCTTCCAGGGGATTCTGAGATACACACGAGTTAGCAAACCACTGGCCCAGGCCACAGTTCAGAAGGGCCACAAAGGGGAGAGGAGAATGCAACGCCACTCTAGTGTGAAAACGGCTCCGAAGCTACCGCAGGTCCTGAGCCAACTACCTCTGAATGCCCAACGGCACAGCTGTCAGCTGGTCCTACTATGTTATCCTCATTTTCTTTACTTGAGCTAGTAGCAAGTGAAAGAAGTATTTGAAGCCACAGCAGAGAGAATACAAGTAAACATAATAAGGTTTGCAATAAATAAGCTCTCTTTTACAACAAAAACTACAGGTGGGCCTAGTTAGAAACATCTCAATTGTTCACATAGCAATAACAGACTAATTTGTTTTTCTGCTTTGTTAGCAGAGTGCTTGGTGATGGGATAGCTTTGTTGGCATGTCACTTAAAATATTTGTAAAAAGCATTCAAAGCACTAAAATTAGGATACGAGCGAGAGTCTCTAGAGGCTTAGGTTTAAAATAAAGCGTTGATAAAACGCTTTTATCAATGACACCATTGATAAAACTCATATCCTGGCGAAATAGCCACATGGCAGCCGAAAACCGTATACCCTAGCTTGTCGTGCATTCTTTCCAAAAATCGGGACTTTTTAAAAATGCCGCAGGACGCGGGAGAAATTGTTAAAAATCAGGACTGTCCTGCCAAAAACGGGATGTCTTGTCACCTTAGTTTAAAATAACTTTTCAGACTTATTGTTCGGGAAACTTTTAAAATTCAGGACTTCGTGCTAGTCTATCATTCTAGCCTAGGAGCGCGAGGACGAGTGGCTGATGACACTTGACAATCCCATGGCCGTCTCTGCGGTGCGAAGTCTGCAGGACTGTGAATGCCAACGGCAGCAATACAGAGTGACAGCCTTCTTGTTTGTCACTGAGTTAATTGTGCCAACCTGGCCGATAATCACATGTGGTGCTGGTTGAAAGGTGGAGGGATAAACGGGTGGTGAGCCTCGCCTTTCTAGTTCTCGGGTCTCTTGTTTTTTGATGGTTGTATCGGGTACAGCTGCCTTAGCAGTTCCCTGCTTCAGCTTGCAGGATTGACTTCCTACAAGACATCCCCAAGGAGAAGCCGCATGGATCTATCCCGATGCAGCCCTGGGTGCTGGAGCAGCCGTGTGGAGACCCCTGCTAGTGCTGAGATGCTTGTTCTTTCACTGACTCAGCTTTCCTCCTGCAGTCGGCATCATTGCCTCTGTTTTGTGAGGTGGAGGACTTTGTGGACTGGTGTTAGGTTAATGGGTTAATGTTGGACTTGTGGGCTTGGGCAGCATTGGGTTGGGATGTTTTCGTGATGCACACTTTCTTTACATAAAACTCTCTTATACATGAGTTGCTGTGGATTTGTTTCTCTAAAGTACCTAGACTAATACAGTCACCAAGTGAGGCAGTAGTTTGGACAGAACATAGCTCGCATCAAAAGCAGGGTGAAGTTCTTTTGAGGTTTTAACTTTGCTTCATTTACTCTACTGCAAGGTCATAGGAGCCCTAGTAGTTTATGTAATAAATGCAAATGGTCTTTAAACGTGTGCTTTTAAAAAGGCTCACGGCATTATGCTGTGAATTCTAATAACCACACCATCCTTGGTTGAGAATATAAAGGCACTGGTTTAAACTTGACTCACAAACATTTTCCACAATTATGTACAGACCCGCAACCAGTGGTGCTTACTTGTGATAGGTGGGTACAACATCATGGAACAAATGGAAGATACTCCTTACTGAGTAGAAAAGCTGAACCGCGCTAAGAGGAAAACAGATTTAACAGACAGGTTAACACTACATGGCAAATGAGGCGCAATTCAAACAAAGTGCATCTCTAACAAGACTGCTGGCCTTGGTTACAGCTAATCTGGATGGAAATATACCCTCTCCCAGTATTAACTAATTAGATTACCGTCTAACACCCTAGATCCATTAATAATTTTAAGGTCAGCGGCACTCCACGCACAGCTTTTTTTTCCACTGGATCAGTGTGCACTCCACCAGAACCCCAAGTATCCCTTCAGTAACAAATGGAGCTAAGCCTCAAGCAAATGTCACCCTCGCACTGGCGCGCTCTGCAAAGGGCACCGCATCAGTAACGGTCCTCGCTCGGTCCGTTTAGAGTCAGTCTGACTCTCGGCGCTCACCTTTACTCCTTCTTACCCCAATGCAAGGACATGAATCAACATTTCTAAGATACAATCTGGCCCGTAAGTTTTCTGCCCTTTAAATCTGACTTGAGGGCACCCAAAGATTACTTATTAAAATGTACGGAAAAAGAGCAAATACAAGGCCAGTGTTGCCTACCTCTACGTAAAGACATGTTAAACCAGGTACGTTGAGTAATTCACAGGAATTCCACAAACAATTTACAAAAATCAAGTCGTGGTTACTATACCACAAAACACCGCTCCGACTTAAATGCTAAGACACCTGATTATTTTATTCTGTACCTGCGATCTGTGGTGCTGCTTCAGGCTGAATGGTAAAGGAGAGGGTTGCCAGAGAGCTGTGCGTTTGTTTTGGAGCAGACCGGGACACCACACAGTATTTTTTATGTACTGAACACCTGCACTGATTCTTTCAGAATAAGATACCGGTTGCTTCCATGAGGATTCTGAATCACCACAGGCATTTAATATACAAAATACTGTTTAGTGTTCTATAGTCTCAAAAGATTTAAGAACTATTGCCCTGTACCCTCATGTCCCAGCCAGAACGGTCTCGTATATTCTGGGAGAATGCCTAGTGAAGAGACAGTCACCTTTAGGAAAGGGTCTTCAGAGAGTTCATGGAAACACTCCATTATTTAGAATTCGTTCTTCACAAATGTGTCGAAGCCCTCTCGTGTGTTTATTTAGCCAGAGAAGCACACACTTCTGCTGACAGGTACTTTCCTTCCTACTGATAATTAAACTGGATGGATTTATAAATGGAATCATCAATGCCCCGTAAGCAGCTGGCAGGCACATACTTCCTAGAGCAGAAGAGAACTAAAGGGGTTGTCTGTGCTGATAAGAAGAAGACACTCTGGAAGCCCATCTGAATAGGGGTGATGAAGTTCAGCCTAAACTCAACGGTTCAAACTCCCTGCATGGCGTGGATTCTGATGCAGTGATCCTATAGAGACAGAGTGTCCCTGTGGGTCCCCAAGATCCTTCTGCAGGGGAACAGTGGTTTAGAACCACAGTCCTTGTGGTTAGCAGCCCAGCAAGTAACGCGCTACACCCCCAGGGCATCTTTAACATGTATGTGGCTACAGTAAATAACAGCCAGAGACCGATGTAAATTTACATGCTGTACTGGTTTCAGAGCAGGGCAGTGTGAACTAACGGGATACAAGCCAAGGAATTCCCGCGGGTCTCCTCACTATGTGGCAGTTTAGACATGCACATCACAAACTCGTGGCTGTTTGCAGACCACTCACAGTCCTTACCATTGATCACTGCTGGTCGTGGCCTCGAGTAAAGTCTGATAGGCGAGTTCCATTAATTTCTGCACAGAGGCACTGATGCGGCACGTCGGCAAAGAAAAGGAGTGCCGGTCCAGCGAGTTGCCAGGCTCTAGACTCCCCACCTCCTCTCGCTGTGTTCTGACCACTTTCTGAATGTCTGGCTTCTTATCCTCACCAGGACTGGGCAAGTCTGGCACGCTTATCTTCGAATCAGGCGTAATCTAAGATTTAAGAACAAAAATGCATGAGCTTCAGGGAGGCCAAATGCGAGCAGAGAGGAGTAAGATGTGGCTTGCTTCCTTGAGGAGTAAGCTGTGGTTCCCCAGCGTAGTATAAAAGTCCGCACAAACGGCAGCATTTTAATGACTGCTTTATCTCGGGTGAGAGCGCAAGAAATGAGCAGACCCCTGTACTGTCCAAGTCTTCAAAGTATTCCTAATTTTCAATGAAAGAGCAAATCTGTGGGACTGAAAAAGAGACTTTCCAAAATCCCCATTCTTCAGACGAAACTATTAGATTACTACAAACCATAAAAACAAAACCCACTGCTGTCAGGTCAACTCCAAAGCACAGCAGCGGCCCCTGACAGGACCAAGGCAACTGTGCCCAGGGTTTTCGAGGCTGAAAATCTTAATGGACACAGACCGCTTTCCCCCCTCCCCCAAGGAGGACCTGGGTCCTGGGGAGTTCGAGAGTGCAGGCTGCCAACCAATAATCACTTTGTGTGCATTGTCTGTATACTAAAAACATTCCTTCTCTCCTGGACTTTTCATGGGTTGACTCTAAGAAAGGACTCATTCAGATATTCTAAGACATGAACTCATCCTTTTCCTTAAAAAAAAATTGTTTTTAATGTCTCCCTAAAATTTACACACAATGACAATTCTCACACTGAGTCAGGAGTAAATGAGAAAATACCAGGCTGCCAAGTCTGAAACCATGAGTGATATTTTCATCCTAACTTTTAAATAAGTCATTAACCTCTCTGGACCTCAATTTCTTACTGTAAAAGGCAGAAATTGGAGGACACTGATTGTCAAGTCTTGCTTCTCCTTTGAGAAGCATCAGGAGCTATGAGAAAGCGACCCATGCAGTAAGGCAGAAGCTCTCCACAGCAGACAGGGGAAACTGCACTGCTCTGCAGCCGGGACCCCGACAGGAAACCTCGGGGAACACGTCCCAAGTCTCAGGAAACCGTGTAAGTCACCACACCTGGTTTCCCCATCTGTACAAAGGTATAGCTACGTCATACAGTTGTTAGGAAGACTAAGTGAGAATAAAAATGCCAGGCACCTGAGAATCAAAAATAAGAGTCAAGATTACAACACTGATGAAGAAGTATCATTATAGAGATGCTTTGGAAAATGTCAGTACTTGTTAAAAATAGGCCCAGATACATGACTCTCAAAAGGTGACTTCATAAGAACCGAGGAATCTAAGACAGAGGAAGTACGAACTAATCAAGGTCTATGTGAGGCCAAAAGACACAACAAATATCAAAAAAAAATGCAGCTTTAGATCTTTTGAGGAAACAGTCGGTATCTGGGGGATTCTTTAGAAAGATTTAGCTAGGCACAC